TATAGAACCCGGTCTGTTCTGCTCTTTACCCGTAGCTTGGGGGAGAAGATGATTCATGCCTTTCGCGTACGTGCGTAAGTGAATGTAATGGTTTCGACTGGAAATCGAACTCGGCTCCCCGATTCTTCAAGCCGAGCCGCTATCCATTACTCCACCGTGTCTCCTCTAGAAGTATTTACTCCGCGTTAAACCCGTGGTTGGGTATTTAGTCATTTTTCTCTACCACTTCTTAGAAGAAGAAGAAGAAGAAGAATCTGGAGTGCTTAATATCTTTTTATATCTATAATTCTCAAAATGTGTTTGTTTATTTATGTGTGTATGTGGGGGATCGGATGTTGTTTATGTGTTTTCACAATTTTCATCCGATTTCGATTAATTTTTTTGTGTTTGATAGATAATTCTTTAGGGCCGGTTTTGAGTCCAAATTGTCTTGAAAAAATTACAACCTTGTATGCGAAAAATCGAAAAAACTGATTTTTTTACACTCTGCTCAAAAATCAAAGGCAAAATTTAATGTCTGTAAAAAACAGCCTACAATCAATTTAAAGAGTTGAAATCTAACGCAAAAGATTATTAGAATTAAAAAATATATATATATTATAAATAAAAATCATCGTATATTATTATTATGACGGTCCAATGGAGGGGTTCCTTCCTTGCACGATTGAGAATACAAAAACGGCCCTTTTTAGCCCCCCCCATTCAAATTGTTAAGCCTCCCATTTGAAGATGTGCCTCAGTTACACCCAATTGTTGTTACTAATATTGATTTTCGGGTGGGCTGACTTTAAATTTAAACTGCTCCAATTGAAAGGCGAAAATTCCTAGTAATAAAAGAGCCGGTCGAAGGCGGGTTGTGCTGCTGGTATAGTAATATTTGAGAAAACAACTACAGATCATGAATTTAATTTTTTTTACAGTTTAAGAAATCACATCGTGTGAGCACATTTGTTTTGGCTTCCGTAAGAGATTAATTCACAATGAATTTACATAGAAAACTGGACACCCTTTTCAACTTTAATAAAATTTAATTAAAATAATTATATTCGTAATCTATAATAATATGAAAAAGGATTTTTGGAAATAAAGATAATTTTGGTCGCCATGCATAATGTTCGACTCCACTAAATAATGGATAATCGACTTTTATGTTCATATCAGTGGATAAATGTTTCTAACTTGGCCAATTACAAACGAATAAATCAGAAGTTGTGACGATATTGTCTTCCATCGTTCATCAATCCAATGCGCCCGCGCCAATATGCCGTTATGAGACAAAGCTGTTTACAAACATTGCACATCTTTATGGAACACCATGTTACTAAAATTGGCGAGCAATTTCGCTCCAGACACATTGAAGTCGATGTTTTCAGGAAATCAACCACAAATGTTGAACAAGACATTAGTCGGCGAAACGAAATGATGTTCATGCCAATTAGTCCAAGATAAACCCGACTGCAGAGTTTTATAAGATAACTTAAACCTTATGACCTGATCAGAAAACTGTTAGTAAATGAACTCCGACAGTGGCATGTAATTTTAATATTTTCTGACACGTATCCTATAAAGAGATTGGCATCATATATATATATATATATATATATATATATATATATATATATATATATATATATATGTACACACGCATAGGGTTGCTAATATCTAGTTATTTCATTTACCTAACCTTATATATATATATATATATATATATATATTGAACATATTCAAATATATATATATATATATATATATATATATATATATATATATATATATATATATATTCGTTGATCTGCTAAAAGCAGTTGATTGCTCGGCTAGTTCCATTGGCTATTTTGAATGTGTTTAATATTCCCGAGGCGCGCTCCGGCTGTAATGTGGTAACAGACTAAGTTTAGCTTTATTTACTTCAAAGTTTAATCAGTTCCATGGCATCACATGGAATCGAAATCGCTATCGTATTAATTGCCTTTTCGCTGAACGTTTCTTTCCAGCAGGCGCCTTCGAGCATATTTTTGATTTTAAAACGAATACATCCAGACATCAACCCTTCTTTTAGACATGTTCTATTAAATACAAAGGAGATGGGATATCTGTTTAACGAATTTCTCCTGGTGTCAAAATATGTTGTTTGACATGACGTGAAAAATTGTCAAGCAACTTGCCAAAATTATATGCAAGGTTTCGAGTACTTACCATTGGTCACTTTCAAGTAAAGGATGTTGAAGTCATTCTGTGTAGCGCTTATGATCTTCTTGCAAGATTACTCCATCTAATATTTTATTGTTGAAAATTTTCTCTAATGAAGGTTAGTAACATTTGTCTAACATTCTTGTGGAATTCATTCTACCCTCACATGTGAATAACATTCCTGTCCCGGAAGACGACATGCAACCCCAAACCATTCTGCTCCTACCCAGAAAATTTTACAGTTGGTGTGGGGAGCAATACATTGAGGATCATATGCTTCCCCAACTCTTCCACGAACATAAACAACTTCAGGGGTTCCAAAAGTCTGATAAAAATAAAAAATTTAAGGATAATTTTCTATCTAATAAAAATACAGTATTAATAGTCGTAATAAAATCAGTTATGCTCAATAAATTACTTTCAACTAATAAAGGAAATTACTTCAAAGTTGCTTTCATCAAATCAGACGACTTTGGCCCAATCCTCAGCCGTCTAATTTTCATACTCTTTTGCAAAAGAAAATCTTTTTCTTATTAACCTCAGACGGCAATGTTTTTTTCTAGTTTTATATCCTTTGAGGCCATGTTCTACTAATGTTCTCACTAGGCAAGTCGATATCACTTTACTTTTGTCTCTTGAAATTCATCAGCCATGTTAGAAGTGTTATTTTCCTATCGCCTAGAAATATCCGCTTTAGCAGTCTGTCTTCCCCTGGGTCTCTACACATTTTCTGGACTTGACCATCACGATTTTTTAAAGATTTCGTTTCGTTATATCTTTTAATGGTTTGTTTGGAACACCATTTCTTGAGAAATTCCCTTTTCTCAGTTTTGACTTCGGATGACCCTTCTTTGTAAAATGTAATGATTTCAGCCCTTTTAGTTTCAGGAATGCTTTTCTTCGGATACATTTTTAATAAAGAAGGAGCACTTTTAAACTAATACTAAACATGTTACTAAAAATTAGAAAAGATTTTTAGCATTACAAATTAAATTTCAAATAAATGTTTTTGTTAAATAAGTAAAAATGAAGAAATGAACACAATTCATTATTGGTACCCACCCCTATCATAAATACCAGTGAAACATCAATTCAAGATTTCTTATTATAGTATTTTCAGCTAATAAATGTACAGGTTTCAGTAATATTTCTAACTTTTCTACAGCTGCCCCATAATTTTGCCCATATATATATATATATATATATATATATATATATATATATATATATATATATATATGAATTAGGCACAAAAGTGTTGATGTCATGGAAACTGTGCTCAACGTTATATAACAGAGCTATAAAGTATATATATTAATGAATATACACATCCCACACTGTTTGAAATACACGGAGTAAATTGGTGTGGGATATGGATATTCATTTAAATATATATATATATATATATATATATATATATATATATATATATATAGATAGATAGATAGATTTAAACAAACTGATAGATACATTTTAAAAGACTGATCGATGGTTAGCTAGCTAGATAGCTAGATAGATAGATAAGAAAAGATTGAGATGGATAGATAGCTACATATCAGGTTGAATAATAAAAAAACAGTTTTGTCTGTCAACTTTATTCTTAAAAATCAAGTACAATTACATTTATTCAATTATACAGGGAGACCTTAATGGCAGGACAGATTTCAATGCAAATATCTTTGATTATAAAAATGAAATAGCGTATCAAATATAATTATTACATAACTGATATATCAGAGATCAACATATTATCGAAGATTTTGCAATTTACAACAGGTATTTGATATTCCTTTTGTTGACGAAGGACCAAGTTAATATGTTATGCCGAATTGTGTTTGAAATGATAGAAGGATTTCTTTCATTTTCTCTTCATGATGGTGTCCATCTCACGTATGTAATATTCAAATCTTGGATAATATGTTGAATTCTTGTATATCAATTATGTAATAAATATATTTGGTACTCTATGTCATTTTTATAATCCAAGATACTTGTATTTAAAATATGTCTCACTATTATGGAACATACTGTATATTCGCCATTATTTGCAATGACTTGTTGCCACTTATTAGAAAAAAAAATCTTTGATAACTTTGGCGTAATATTCCGTAATCTGTTATTCATTAGAGAATGCTTTCTTTAATAAAGATTGTTATAGCAATGGAGAACTGTAATACTCCGTTGGTACAAAGTCTGGTGAATATGGCGGGTCGGGTAGAACAGACCAACCGAGTTCCCAAATGTTTTTTTGTCTTATTCTTGCTGTATGCAGCCTTGCGTTATTCGCTGTGTACGCTGCGACTGCAATGCATAAATAATGTACATTAGTCTACACTAAATTTAACTGCCACGTCTGATTAGCAGTTAAGATGATGCATTCGTCCTGCAGATTACATTTGTAGATTACAGTCGCAGATTAAAATTGGTAATCTGCAATTACCATTACAGATTACAACTGGTTTCCGAAAATTTAAATTATGACTCATCCTAATGGCTGAACAAGGTTAGGTACATAGATGTAAATAAATTGATATAGATGATTGATTTAATTATTATCAGCGGCTTATCATCATCGTATTTTACCATTTTATGATATATCGTTCTTTCTTTCTTCTAATTGCTCTGACATTGTAGGTCAAGGCGACCAGCTGAATTTAAACAGACACTTTGCAGCTCTTATCTCCTTTTGAGAAAGCGTTTCTTATATACTTATTCACTATTCCTTTCGAACTTTATCTATATCTATCCTTTTATAATGTTGGAATAGAAGCCAATGGCGCCTCCCTGACGACATTCAGGTGTTGTGTTACCGAGATGAAGTCGGAAGAAGACAGGGTGCGCTGCGTTACTTGACATTCATACGCGACTTCAGCCCTACTCACTTCCGCACTGCAGGTGCTCAGCAGAAAATGAAGGCAAGTTTTCCGCGTTCCCTCTTGAACTCCTTCCCACTCCCCGGAGTCACCTGAAGATACTGAACACTCAAAGTCAGGCATTACGACACAAAATGGCGCCTGTATTTGATCGGCTTCACCCGGTTAACTATTGCAGCCGTAAAACGTTGGAGATTGTCGAAATGTTGAAAATTAAGGCTTCTTTGAAATGTGGCATAGGCTCACAAAGTGACGTAATATTTATAGATAGTGTATCCAAAAGGTTGAAATGCTTATTTAATTTTCAGGAAACATAAGTCGGATCAGACGTTCCAAAATGCCCAGAATACAGAGAATTCCTCGAAGAATTCCTGGAATAAAAATCAGAATCGTTCTTTTGTGATAGAATGTAGAACTCAAATTAAAGGCATCGGGATGTCACAAAAAGGTAGAAAAGAAAACAATTGGTTACTGAGTAATAATGTTATGGGTAAAATAGTTACTGTTTATTAAACGAAGCTTAGTTCTAGTACAACGCTACAATTATGAGACAGTCTTTGATGATCGAACTATAGTAAAAGTTTATGAGACTGGCTTGTTAACCATTGCATCATAACGAGTAGAATAGTTGGTAAAAAAAAAAGAAACAAAAAAAAACTGAAAAATTTATATCGACATTACAATTTTTCAGTCTTCAGACGTCATGATTAAATGACACATAGCAATTAACGTGGATTTCTGTCGCTGAAAAGAAACTAAAATTAAAATGAAAGAAATGATTATTGTTATCACTTCATAAAAAATTGAGATAATACTGTTACCACCAATGCAAAATAAATAAATAAATATGGCAACCATCGATCGGGGAGAAAAATGAAAGGCTAGTTTAAAAGCACAAATCTAAATAGTGTCTTTATTTGGGCAAAGTATTGTTTACTGATGGCCATTGATTGACGGTCTGAGTAGTTGAGATAAAATTTAAGAAAAATCAAAATGAAATATTAGCTAAAGATGAATTATTTTCCACTCTACAACACTTTTCTTCACAGACTAAAAGTCGCAAGCCCCTCGCTGCTTTACCGCTATTTCCATGCAAGGAGTTCAGACGAATATTACTTAGTTCCTCCAGTTCTAATCGTCACGGCTTAGACCCGCCCTGCCACGCCTATTGTACCGAACCACCATCGTTCTCTTCGCATTATAAAGCGGCTTCTTCCCCAAAACATCTGATTCGTAAAACCAAATTATATAATAACTCTTCCTCCATCACTACAAACTAAGTGTTATATTCCCCACATATCGCCACGAACTGTGCCTCGTACTCTGTAGCCCTCTACCTGGAATGGCTCTGGGGTCTTGTACAAGGTGAACATCATTGTCAAAAAAGAATAGAAAAGGTCATCCAACTTAGTTAGACACTCTTGTGGAGTATTGAGCCACAGCCTCACCACGCCAGGTGTTGCTACTGCATTTACAATAGCAAGTACTCCTTCTCCTAGATTGGTTGCTAATCAAAAATAGAGAGTCTAGTCTTCCCTGATATTTACCCCGTCGGCGTAGAGAAAATGGAATGATACATATCCAAAAGGTATTTTTTTTTCGAAAATGAACGCAACGAACTCGGCTGTAATTTGATCTCGGCACGTCAGTTCCATGATGTTTGCCGAAAACCACTGCTCCACAGGTACTCCTTTTATGCGATAAAAATATCGACATAATCTGATTAGAGCAGCTACATTGGTTATGACCCCATTTTGTTTTCGTTCTGAAACAACATTGATTTTCAAATTATACAATAAATTGTCCGGGGCACCTAGCAGCGGTGTAATGGTTAGCAATCTTGTCTCGCTAGAACATTTGCGACTGAGTAGGGAGTTTGATTCTCACTGGGTGCCCCATACTTTCGGCGTTGTGCCGCATCTAAGCCACGCTTGGAAAATCACTATTCAATAAGCTGTCCAGGCAATTTATTTCATTTCGTGATCAGCAGAATATGAAGTAAGTAAAATAACAGAATAATCTTAATTTCCTGTATTAATCGTCAGCTGTAGTTATGAACAATGTCTCTACAATTGAGAGCGCATTTTCAAAAGCAGTTTAGCTACAAAGAGGTTTTTAAAATCTTTATAAAATATCCAGGAGTTTTAAGATTTTAATGAAAATTTTCTCATTTATTCATTACTTTTTTTAATTTTTTTATTATAAATGCAGTATTAGGGGTAATGCATTTTCGGCTCAGTTACCAGACGCATTTTATATAAATCGACACATATTTCTAAAATAAAAGTTATTATTTCTTTTTAAAAATAAAACATATTATCGGTCTTCGATTGTGTTGGGTATAACTGGAAAATGAACAACAATTGTGGAACTTGTCATTGATTTGCCTGCCTGCTTTCGAGAGCCTAATCGAGAGTGTGAAATCCAAATCCGAAAATGTCGTTAGGATGAAAGAAAAGAGAACTGAACTGTTACGTGATATCAGTCGCCCACTATGGCTGCGAATGCTGGACAATCTCATCACAGATGATGACGAGACATGAGGCAACAGAAATGTGTTTCTACAGAAGGATGCTGAGGATACCATAGACTGAACATGTGAGCAAAGAGCAAAGTTTTAGAGAAAGTTGAAGCAAAAAGGACACTTTTCAGAAAGAAGGTGCGTAAATTTCCCATGCAAATAACGAGAAAAGACGGCTTGGAAAATTTAACACTCACTGGACATACTGAAAACAAGAAGGACAAAGGTAACAGCGCACTACCAGCCTAACGAGCTGGTGTAGATGTTTGGCAGAACAAGGATAAGGAGATATATTAAACGGACAAAATTTACAAAAATGCTTCAAAAGAGTGGAACTTGTGGAGAGCCATGTTCGCCAAAGTCATGAAAGGACATGGTAGATTCAGAAAAATAAGAAGAATAAGAAGAAGGTCTGACAAAGTTTACAGGTGGCCAAAGTTTATGCAATGAGATCACCGCCAGTACCAGTTTATAGAACAATATGCCAGGACAAGTACAAAGCTTTAAATATCTGGGAAATGTGGAAAGTGTGACATTGAGATCCAAACACACATTAGTTTAGCGAAAGCTGCATTTCAAAAGCTAAGCGAAGTACTATGAAACAGAAAAAAAATGTTAGAAAATAAGAAAAGAGGGCAGAAATTCTATGTGATATCAATCCTCTTTTATGGCAGTGAATGCTGGGCAATCTCCCCACAGATGAAGAGGAAAGTAGAGGCAACAAAAATAGTTCTACAGAAGGATACTGAGAATTAATTCTTTGCAACGAGGAATACATAAAGAAAATGATAGCAAAAAGAATATACTTAGAATCAGAAAGAGGCATTCGAAATGTATTGAATAGCTAATGAGGAAAGAAGGCTTGAAAAACTTAATTCTTACAAGGAATTTCGAGGACAAGAGCCACAAGAAAAATTGCAAGCCCCTACCTGACGGGCTTGCGTGAAAGGATGACGGGACGGTTGGCATGAGGATTGATAAAAGATGAAACGCTGCGAAGGGCCACGAGAAATATAATGATTGGCTACGTTCTAAAGGAACAAGACTCATAGAAAAAGATATTAGGTACATAGTTTTTGCAAGGCTGAATAGTTTCCGTATTGGCAGTCAAATTGACATAGTAGATGATGTTGAAGATGAATGATAGGGGAGTCTGATGTTGACCAATTCTAATTTGTCACCTGAACGTTTTGCGCAGTCATAATATATATAGGTTTATATTTAGGTTTGCTCTACTTAGTGTATTGAGCACTTTACATAGTGTAATCCTTTTGGAGGGTTTTTTCTTTGGACTCTGAGCTTGGATTCTGGACGATTGTTTTCGCCTCAATTTCATGTTTTTAGTTCTTTCTTTTTTTATCCCTTATTTTCCCTTGGGCATTGGTTTGTTGAATTACAAGCCAAAATAGATAAGTTTTTTTCCAAACGAGTATAACTATTTATATTTATTATATATATATATATATATATATATATATATATATATATATATATATATATATATGACGAAATATACACTTAAGGTGTGCTATATTTATGGGATAAAGTGCTCAATATCAGAGAGCGTGTGTAAATATAAAGTGAACATTGAAGTCAACACTTAGAGGCGACAGGCTGTTTCATGCTAGACGCAATCGTCAGGCCACGAGTGTTGCTTTTATCTCGGCTATTTATGTATGTGTATTATGTATTATATATATTATTATTATTATTATATATTATTTATATATAAATATCCAAGAAAAAAACAACACTCGTGGCCAGACGATTGCGTCTAGCATGAAACGGCCTGTCGCCTCTAAGTGTTGACTTCAATGTTCACTTATATATATATATATATATATATATATATATATATATATATATATATATCATTTTATACAGAAGCAAGTAGAGCCAAATTTGTACAACTCTGCGAATTTTGGTCACAACAGCAAATTTCTTTTGATGATAGGTATTTTGAAAGGGAGATAATCATTAAATTTTTCAAATTGCAGCACAATGAATAATTCTATATCATTATGTTTCATGCAAATTAGCATTTTTTCTGCGATTTTTATTCAATTTCTTTTTCTGTCCATGTCTTTTCGTTTCTTTTATATGGTATTTTTGGATGGGAGGAGAGAAATCGATGTTGCCAATTATAAACAGCGTAAGAAAAACAAAAGTAGAAAAAGCGAAAATCTTGATTAATTAACTGGTCGCCTTGTGATGCACTTATGCAGAACAGTGTATACATTTTTCATCAAAAATGTCTCTCAGTTTCCAAAATGTAATGTCGCCTTGATGTAAACAGAACAATTTACGACATTAGTTCTCGCTTATGAACAAAATTTGAGCTTTTATAATATATGTTGTTTCTGAGATCATACTGAAGCTTACTGTTACGCCACATTGAAACACCGGATCCCGTAAGATCGCCAAAGTTAAGCAACGTCGAGCCTGTTCAGTACTTTTGATGGGTGACCTCTTGGGAATACCAGGTGATGTAATGGATAATGGCTCGGAATTGTTAATCAGAGAGCCGAATTCCAATTCCATTTGTTAGGTTCACTTACACGCAAATACAATTGGAAATTATACAAATCCACATTTTCTCTCCCCCAGCCATGAGTTAAATAGTAAAAATTGTATCAGTAAATCTTTATCATCTCCAAAAATATTCTTACAATCTTAATATTTTTTCTGGATTTAATTATCCTTCAAATTGGTAGCACAATGAATAATTCTATATCATTATGTTTCATGCAAATTATCATTTTTTTCTGCGATTTTTATTTAATTTCTTTTTCTGTCCATGTCTTTTCGTTTCTTTCATACGGTATTTTTGGATGGGAGGAGAGAAATCGATGTTGCCAATTAGAAACAGCGTAAGAGAAATCTTGATTAGTTAACTGGTCGCCTTGTATTGCACTTATGCAGAACAGTGTATACATTTTTGCTCAAAAATGTCTCTCAGTTTCCAAAATGTAACGTCGCCTTGATGTAAACAGAAGAATTTACGACATTAGTTCTCTGGGGCTTACGGACACATGATGTTGAAACACCAGTTCCTGTCTGATCACCGAAATTAAGCAACGTCAAGCCGGTTAGTAACTAAATGGGTGACCATTTGGGAATACCATGAGCTGTAAACCTGGATATGCTGATGATTTAATGCATAATATTTCGGATTTGTTAATCGGAGAGCCGAGTTCCAATTCCAGTTAAGTTCATTAGATTCACTTACACGCAAATACCCTTGTGATAAGTATGGATCCCTCACTTATCCCTCTAGCTATGGGTTAATCAGTAAATCATTATAAACTTTTAAAAAAAATTCTTATAATCTAAAATATTTTCTGGCTTTAAAAAACCTGCAAAAGGTTGATAAGTCGTAAAAAAACGAATCAAACAATCAATTAGCTCATAGGGCTTCATTAGATGAAATATAGCTAAATCCCTAGCTGGTGGTTGCGAAATCTCCAAATAGGCTTGCATTATCCTTAAGGCCTTCTATTTTCCAGTATAAACGCATTTTAAAGCTTGTTATATAATCCATTATATGTATTATTCATAAAGCCAGCATCACAGCGTTCGTTCTGCGTATCTTGACGCACTGATAATTTACTAAATAAATTTAGCATTCATGACTTGTTCATTTATATAATCATCGTTAATAAAAGGCCATTAGTTATCGGGGAATTAGACAGCCCCGTTAAAGCCTCACAGAATTAATTGAAATTTAGCTGTGAAATCTGCTTTTATCTTCTGGATTTAATCAGCTCGGAAAAGTATTTAGAAAAGGGATTTGAAACTTCCATGTATTGACACCTGAGAATTGTGGACTTTGACTCTACCTCTGGTGTACGTACACTGATCGCTAATGAGATCAGAATGTGAAATACATTCCCTTCAACAACGCTGGCAGGGGAAAATGATTCCGAAGCAGGAAGAAGATGAACTTTCTCGTATCCTTAGGTTTTAATGTGTCTTTCTCTCTTTCTCAACAAAGATCGGCAGTTCTAAAAGTGGAGACAGTTTTGAAGACTTTTTTTTCCCCACTGGTGGTAGGCAGTTACTCTGCACTTCTTTAGGGAGTTTTTTTTTTTTAATATCTCATTCATGTCTATCTTACCGACTCGTATATAATTCCCCAGACTGTAAATAATATATACATTAATTATTTTGAACTACATTTCGGAGTTTGGTTGCAAAAGATGTTATGACAGATATTATTACAGATGCAACATTTCGGCCAAGTACTTTATGGCCATCATCAGTTGTCCATTGTTTCGCTGATACAAGACAATTTGAATTCTGTTTTATTGTCTTCTATAATACAAGTTATTTCCATTCCTGATGAATCTGTGTTTCACAGGTATGGTGGAACTCACGATGACGGTTACACTTGTGTGTGTGTGTGTGTGTGTGTGTGTGTGCACGCGCATTATTATTATTATCATTTGTCTGCCATTCTCTGTCTCTATAGAAAGTTGCTGAGAATAGCATGGACCGAACGTGAGAGCGACGACGAGGATTTAGAGAAATTAGAAATAACTGATCCCTCATCACCACCATCCTGTAGGCTATCAGTGATCGACTTTTAGAGATTTTTAAATTCAATGTCATTTGCTTGTCATGGAGGATTCGTACCGGTTTTCGGTAATTTCGTATTTGATCTCTGAGATGGGCAGTTGTTAATATACTTGAAGTATTTCGGACCATTGTTCTCATGGTTTCATAGTTGTTTGATACTCACAGAAACAGATTGAACAGAGAGAGAGAGAGAGAGAGAGAGAGAGAGAGAGAGAGAGAGAGAGAGAGAGAGAGAGAGAGAGACTTGGCGAGCTTAAGTGAATGGATGCAGGCTTTGGGAGAGATCGCAAACAGACAAAATGTTTTAAGATCTACAAAGGACAGGAAATTGTGGGGAGCCATGATCGCCAACACCCTGAAGGCACACAATACATTATATTAGTTGTTGAAACCTGGAGCTTTATTCATATGTTTTTCAGTCTGTATAAGGCTGCAGGCTTCAACAACTAATCTAATTTGGTTTGTTTTGTTTTACGGCATATCAACCTCAATGGGTTATTTTATGCCGACAAGATTGTTATTACTGGTAATATTTTTTTAAAAAACAATATATTTTTCTGGTAATATTTTTTTAAATATATATATATATATATATATATATATATGGTAATACTTGTTTTTCAAAAAAAATTTATTTCTGGTAATATTTTTCCCCAAAAAAATATATTGCCGGTAAAATGTATTGCCGGTAAAAATGAATTGCCGGTAAAAATTCTTGCTGGTAATATTTTTTTACAAAAATGCTGGTAATAATTTTTTACAAAAATATATTTCTGGTATTAAAACCTATTTTTACACTATTTTGACCCCAGTTTGGGGGTTAACTATTTTCCCATAGCTGGGACCCTAACACGTGCTACCAACACGGGTCAGGGTGGACCTGGGAACACCAGTAATTAAGAGGTGGTTCCACGCTCCTTAAAACCTCCTGATCAGAGGCCTTGCTGTTGGATGTAGTTTATCGTCTTACCCAGGATGCAACTTTCCTTCTTCCGAGATATCTGTCATACTCTCTTTCTACAGAAAGATGCTGTGGATACCATGGACCGAACATGTGAGCAACGACGAGATTTTAGAGAAAATACATACAAATAAAGGAAACTTATCGTTAACACCAGGAAGAGGCAACTGAAAGTTCTGTGTCACGTAATGAGGAAGGAGGGCTCCGAAAATCTGATATTCACAAGACGGATTTAAGGAAAGATGGACAGAGGAAAGCAGCGCGGAACACACTTGAGGATCTTGAACAAATGAATGGTAGAACAGGGTTTGGGAGAAATAAGAAAAAGACCAAATTTATTATAAGCTAAGTTGGACAGGAAGTTGTGCGGGCCGTGATTGCGTACATCCTGAAGAGATGCGACACATAAAGAAGCAGTTATACTTTGTAACCTTCTAGGAATAATGAATAAACACTTTATTCAATTCACGTGCGTAAATTATTCTTATTTCGCTTCCCATGCTTAGTGGGGAAAACTCGTATCGTTTAATTAATCTTATTTTGCTTTCGTGTCGCGCTTGTTCGTTCCTTTCGCAGAATCTTTGAATTATTTGCACCACCTAAACTCAGGGACTAAACTTACAACTGTCAGAGAATTGGATATACTTTAACCAGCACTTAATTTATTAAACCTTAAAACCGAATTTATGATATTTAACAAGGCGAAGAGCCCAACATGCGGACAACAAACAGGCCCTGTCATAATCAAGCAAGTACACAAGTTTAACTATCTGAGAAGTACTTTAAGAGAAGTCAGAAAATGAATCATTGAAACAGAGTACGATGTCTTCAAAAAGCTAAGCAAAGTATTAAAGGGAATTTCTTTAGAATCAAAGAGAGCTAAACTGCCGTGTACGTGTGAATGCGGGACAATTTCGTCACAGACGAAGTGAAATCTTTGGTAAAAGAGATGAGATTAGGTTCTACAGAAAGATGGTGAGAATACCATGGAGAGATCACGTGTGCAACAAGAAAGGTTTAAGGTAATCTGGAACATAAAGGATACTTGTACTTGGTTGGTTGGTATTGTTTAGTGGCATACAAATTTCTATAGTTTAGAAAAGGTTACTGAATAAGGAATAACCAAAACGGAGGTTGGAAATGAAATGGTAATCTTTATAACATCAACAAAATACAATACTCGCCAGCGGCGTGAAATAGATAAACCACTGCTAGTGGTGGACTATTTAGACACCATATTACCCCCACTTATATAATTTAAATGTAATTTTATGCCTTCATCTATAAATAAAATGTATTTAAAAAGTCATTTTGTTCTTAAATGTATTATTGGTAATTCTATAAAATTGTATTTCTGGTCATTTTGATATAATTAGGTATTATTGGTTATTTTACAATATAAAAATATATTGCTGTTAATTTAACCATAAAAATGTATTTGCTTGCTTTCATAGTGTATTTTTTTTCTTTTTGGTGGGATCACAATTTGCCTGTAGCTGGGCGCCACACAGGTGCTACTACCCCGGGTCTGCGTGAACACGGAAACAACAGCAATTAAGAGTTGATCCACGCTCCTCAAAACGTTAAAATCACGCGATCAGAGGCCTTGCTAGCGAATGCAGTTTATCGTTAATCACACTTTGATGTTACATGGGTATTCGCGTACTTGGAAGAGTATCACTACGGAACTGAGTGAGAGGCGGTGCTAGATTGAGTCTAGTCAGTTTCTTCTTCGTCACCGAGGCCCGTGGTACAGTTGGTATGACGTTTGCGTTGTATTAAAACGGTCCGGGATGCGCACTGCTGATGAGGCCCAAATAGGACAGTGCTTTCTGCATTATAGGCTCGAGGAATTAATATATGTATTACACTAAATCCCCTAAATTTCTTCACTTATATATATATATATATATATATATATATATATATATATATATATATATATATATATATATATATATGTATTAAAAAATCCGTGGGTGAATAATGCAAGTAAATCCTAATAATAAAAATATTAAAACTGATCTACAAAGAGAGCTCAATATATTTATTATAGAGCTTATATACCTAATTGATATTTAATTAAACTCAATACCTCGTATGGATGGCCATTTCACCCCCTAAGAAAAAATTCCTTACCGAGGCTTTTTAACACACAAAAAAATTGGTGTTGAAAAGCCTTGGTAAAGAATTTTTCTTTAGGAGATGAAATACCCATCCGTATGGGGTATTGCATTTCATTAAATGCAAATTATACCTCTCTTTCTCTATATCTATCTATCTATCTATCTCTCTCTCTCTCTCTCTCTCTCTATATATATATATATATATATATATATATATATATATATATATATATATATATATATATATATATATATTATTTGTATTAATCCTATTATGAGTCACGGTGGAGTAATGGATAGCGGTGTGGATTGAAGATCCAGTCGAATCCATTGCATTCACTTACGAGCTAATACCCTTGGGAAAGGTGTGAATCCTCTTCTTCTCCCTCCAGCTATGGGTAAATAGCACAACAGTCTGGATTCTATAGCCTTGGGTGGCAACTGGTCTAGGAGAAGGACAACTCTGAATTCAAAACCTGCGGAGGGTCTTTGGGGACCATGTGGCACGTAATGCACTAAATCTCTGTATTCGGCCTTTCAAAAAAGTGTGGATGGTTTCCTTGAACTGATCTACTTGACCTCATACATCGACGTGGGGAGAGTCGAGTGTATATATATATATATATATATATATATATATATATATATATATATATATATATATGGTTAATGCAAATAATATTTCCCTGATTGATCCAGCACCAGAGGTTCGTAGATGATTTTTTTTTTTGTAATTGTTCAGTTCACTCGTCAGAAACTGACTGTCGTGTTTCTCATTTGTCGTTATCTTAGAAGATTAGAATTTGCAATTAGATTAACATCGTATTTTTCCTTCGGCTATATAAATTACTAGCAGCATCGCCCGGCGTTGCCCGTGCTTGATTCAAAAATCGTACGACTCATACAGCAATCGCTATCACTTGACTTAAAATATTTTTACCCTTCCTTGCCTTTAAAGGAGTGCCCTTTGCCGTGCTGATGTTGCTACATGCCTTACTTCTTGCCTATCTAACACTGCGAATTTTTTCTAAGCACTATACTAAACATTAAATTTGTTACGAAAAAAGAACTAAACAAAATGAACACAAAACGATCAGCTTTAAAAAAGGACTCGTAACTGGAAAAACCGAATGAAAAAAGAATGTTAACAACAAATACTTTTTCACACCCAACCCAGTTCTGCGGAATCAAAATCAAATTGAGTTTAAGCAAGCGAATGAGCCAATTGGAGTAAAGTGCCATGCAGATTTAAATTTCCCCCACTTGTGACGAATGCAGCTATGGATTTTTTTTGCATGCTAACATGCTAGTTAACATTCGTGTCAGTCAGCTGTTGGCCAATAGATTATTCCTGCCTATTCGTAGCAGCCAGCTATAGGCTCTCACTCTGGCCAGTACAAAATGGCCGCAAACTACATAAAAACCGTAGAAGAATGAAAAAATCGATTATTTCCACTATCGATGGGAGTTGGGAAATGCAAAGACGTTCTTGGCTCTTCTGCTTACTTGGAGCATGTGCATGTAAATTTTGGTGCAAATCCGTCGAAAATTGCGGCCGTGCATTCGTTGCACACACACACACACACACACACACACACACACACACACACACACACACACACACACACACACACATCCTGCCTTTTATAGATAGAGATAATGTATTTAAAAATAGAAGAAAGAAATGAATATAATCTTTTTGTTGTATTCGCTGAATGCAGCACAGTTTTTATTGGAAAAAAGTAAAAAAAGAAAAATTGGGCTACCAGACTCGGCCATCTTGAAAATCCGGTTACAAAATCATGGGTTGCTGTTAACTGGTTTGAAAACCAATCCCCTTGTACCGCTGGATAATAGAAAATTAACTAAACTAGAGAGACAGATGAAGTCTCTTGGTCACATAGTGAGGAAAGAGGGCCTGGAAAATTGAACACTCAAAGGACATAGTGAAAGCAAGAAACAGTGATTAACCGACATAACGTGCCCGTGTAAATGGATAAAGATGGTAACGGGTCAGATGAGAATTAAAGAAAATAAATAAAGGACATGACACATAAAAGAACAAGACGAAAATGGACCTATTTAATGATCTTTGAGAATTACTTTCACGTGTTATTTAATATCAAACTTTGGCATACAGTGGTAAATAAGATAAAATAAACTCAGCTAATACAAGCTAATTGTTAATAAAGGTTGATTGGTTTTCGGCGACTTTTGAATAACAGTCGGAAAGAAAATGCCGTAAAAAATTCTAGATAAAAAAAACAAATATAAGAACGCTTTGAAATTTTAGAGAAAAAGAAAGATGAAAACAGAAGGAAAAAAAAAAACAAAAAAAACTTGCATTCTCGCCCACCCGTAGTCCAAATAAATGAAGCTGAAAAAAAATGATTAAAATGTCTATAAATGATAAGAAAGACAAAACAATTTTGGTAAAAATGTAAAAACCCTAAGTGAATGTTTATTAAAAGACACAAAAAAAAGTAGAAATTTTGTCTAGGAAAGATAAAAAAGAAAAAAAAAACTATGAAAACTTCATAGACATTATCAGAGAAGCCAGAAAAGATTTACTTACGTCATAATGTCTGCACTGGAAGCATTAAAATGGAAAATTAAAAGAAAAACAAATTTAACAAGCAGACAGAAATGAAAATAAATTCTCGATTCCGGTCGAAAAGAGACAGAGGAAGCATACTCTTGGGAAGTCAATTCTGACATTTCCTAATGATTATTATTATTAATGATTCCGGAATTTTGGAAAGTTTTTGTTCCGTGGTGACGAATAGTCACCCCCACAACCATTTCTGATCCGTTCTTAAGCAAAAACAATGAGTAAAAATGAAAATGTTTCGGATGTGGACGCAATCAAGTAATTGCTCAATCAATAATACATACGTTTCATCCGGGTGTTGCATTATGCATTCGTTAGGCTTTTTAGATGCTTAAAAGATCTTATCCTGCTGGTGTATTTATGTAAATAAAATTATCTTGAAGAGTTACTTTATTTTTATTTTTTATTTTTTTTAAAGTCTATGTTTTGTTATGACATGAGTAGATTGATTCGTTTTTTACGGTTTATCAACACTTTACAGTTTATTTATGGGCACGTGGCGGAGTGTTTAGAGAATTCGCATTCTGACCATGAGACCCGGGTTCGAGTCTCACCATAGTCGATTTGTCAGGATCGAACTCCCTACTCAGTCGTAACTATTCTAGCGAGACAAGCTTGCTAATCTTTACATCGCCTCGAAGTGACCATAAGTCACTAGTTCATTCAGCACATCAGGGATGTGGTGTAATGGTTAACAAGCTTGTCCCGCTAAATCATTTACGACTGAACAGTGAGTTCGGTTCTCACTGCGTGACCCATACTTTCTGCCATGTGCCACATCTAAGCAACGCTTAGAAAATCGCTTTATGGCATTTCGATGTGATAATGGTTGGCAAGCTTGTCTCGCTAGATCATTTACGACTGAGTAGTGGTTTTGAGCGCACCGCACTTTTAGCCTTGTGCCACATCTAAGCTACGCTTAGAAAATCACCTGGACACTTCGACCTGGTGTAATGGTTAACAGACTTGTCGCTCTAGAACCATTACAACTGAGTTGTGAGTTCGATCCTCACTGGGTGCTCTATACTTTCGGACTTATGTCACATCTAAGCTACGTTTAGAAAATCACCATAACTATTTAATTCGGGGAAAAAAAACATCAGCATCTACGCAATTTTGCAAGTGCATTAGACGCATAAAATATTTAAATCTTAGATGTTTATGCTTATTGCTTTCTGAATATTAAGCTAAACCAATAACTGCTAGGTCCGTGTCAAATTAGCCCGCCGTGTCGGTTAATCAGCGTGGATCATTTCGGGTGGCCTGTTTCTACAAAACGACGTCGACGAGAAGAGCTGCAATTGTATACGTCGGGTCTAAACACGGTGCTTCACAAATATAACTGAATACGCCTGCCTTCCAAATACAACTACGAGCAATTTAAATGATTTTATTTCATTCCCTGTCCCGGCTCGGTGTTTATTTAGTACGATTCTCTTATTATTTGCGGCACGATTGTTCTATTAGGTTGGTGCAAAAATAATGACGGGAATAATGTCGTTTTTGACGTCAACGTCAAAAACGACATTATTACGTCATTATTTTTGCACCATCCTAATAGTTTATTAAACTTATGTACACATTCCCTGCGGAACGTTTATTTGAACATTATTTTATGAGTGACCAATCGCATGTCTATTCCAGTCGGTATCTTCATTTGGTACAGATCAGTACGACAAAACAGGTTTAAAGCAAAACACACACACACACACACACACACACACACACACATATATATATATATATATATATATATATATATATATATATATAATGCCATTCTGTTCAGTATTGAATAATTGTTATTTCTACGTTCCAAGGTATTCCCAGTGCATTCATCATCATCATCCTCCTTCGACCTCCGACTGGTTGGTCGGAACTCCATTGGCGCAATCCCTTTCCACACTGTTCGGTCCTGCATTGCTGTCCCCAGATCCCTAATGTTCAATCGTAATTCCCAAGCTATGTTTTCTGGGAAAGTCAGTTTTCGTTTTGGTTTGAGCTTAAGAGAGATTGGTCTCAGTTCTCCCTAAATTGTCTTAAGCATTGCATGGGATCTCTAACTGATGTTCTGGATTTTTCTAAGAAGCTTTGTTTATGTTCCATCCGTTTGTCTTTCAAGACGAACAGATATTGTCCAAGTTTCTGATCCATACAGTAGGACGTGTTCAATCAATGTTCGAAAGGTTTATACTTTTAAGAAGGATGGAAGGTTCGAGCGCTTTAAGTGGCCATTTTTACACTAGTGGAACATATTTTTAGACTTTCTGGTTGAATTTCTGGAGAGAACTTATCCTTATTTATATTATTTATATTCGGACTATTGTTCTCATCTTTCTTGTTGTTATCATAATGTTTCGGCCGTTGTGCACTCCGACCTTCCCCAGGTGTATATCGATCTGGATAACTGTTTAGTAGGAGAGAAGGAACAGTGAACAGTGAACTGTAAATAGATTGAGCGCTAGTTCATTCGATACACTCTCACTAGTCGTGTAATAATCTTTTGATGTACTTACTGTTTAATATACGATATATTAGGTTGGTGCGAAAATAATGACGTAATAATGTCGTTTTTTGACCTTAAAAATAAGTTAAAAAACGACATTATTACGTCATTATTTTTGCACCAACCTAATATCTGCAAAGCTGGTTTTTGTTATTACTTAACCATTTACTTGGTCACAACAATAACCAACAGGAAATTCTGAATCGAACCCTTTATTTAAATACATCGGATTTTATTTTATTTTATTTTATCAATAATATACGCGGAAAGACTAAAATACAATATAAAGATATTATTGGTGCAAAAATAATGACGTAACAATGTCGTTTTTCGACGTATTTTTAACGTCAAAAAACGACATTATCACGTCATTATTTTTGCACCAACCTAATACATTGTCATAAGATACAATTTATGCCTCAATACAATTTATGCTGTCTTTCGTCAAATTTAGCAAAGATATACAGGCACTAAAAGATTAATGTATTTTATTTATAATCAGACAGGATTTCATATTACTTTAAATTTTATATTCAGTGAATGCAGATTTTGGAGTAGACATCTCTGTTTCTCAAATTTACCGGGGTGTTCATTCAAGAGACTGTGCCACGCGGCGACATTTGAAACCGCGTCCACCTTTTTAAAGGAAAACACCGTCAAATTCGGCGCGCTTATTGACAGCACCCTCACTCCCCCTTGCAAAGAATTCATGATTTTGCAAAGTTCAATTATCCTATTTAAGAAATTGGCATTACCAGTTCGGATGTCTTGAAGATTTTCGAATGCACAAGTCGGTAGACACAGTGGTGTCTACTGAAAAACTTGTGGCCACTGAATCTAATGTTGAATGTAATCAGAAACAGTGCCTTACACACACACACACACACACACACACACACACACACACACACACACACACACACACACATATATATATATATATAAGGATTATTATATAAATATAAACTCTATCTTCGCAGGGTATTTTACAATCTAAGATTCCATTTAATGAGAAGAAATTCAATAAAAATCGACTTTGTTTCTGTTTATATATGATCCTCATGAAGAAAGAATTTTGGTGGTAAAATCATTAAAAATATCTACCTATCTCTCTCTCTCTCTCTCTCTATATATATATATATATATATATATATATATATGTAGGTATATTGTGTATTAATTCATGCTCTGTAATAATAAATACATTGGTCTTTTTTTGTGGATCAGTTTTAATATTTTATATTACTTGTATCCATTTGATCAACGGATTTTTTTTATATATATATATATATATATATATATATATATATATATATATGTGTGTGTGTGTGTGTGTGTGTGTGTGTGTGTGTGTAAATAAGATCGGCATAAATAAATTATATTACTGAAAATTTTGTGATCACAATTTTCCCTTGGAAAATAACGTCTGATAAAAAAATAAAAATAAAAAAAACTTACTCAGACCAATATGCTTTGAAAGGACTATGATCTATGAATTGCCTACGATTAAATCTAACGCCAGACTATTTCAGTCTATTCTTACTAAATTCACACTGAAGCAATGTGGAATACGTCAAAATTTAGAATAAAGAATTAGACATATAAACAAAAATTGAGTTGAAATTACTTATAATTTCATTTCAATAACTGATTTCGTTGAAGTAAAACTTTTTTTTTCTGATGACGCTGGAGCATTGACGAAAAATTTCAAAATAGACCTTTTCCATATTATTTTCAAAATCCGATCATCAGCTATGATTACACGTCCTGTACCCCATGAGGGTGGTAGTGCCGGCACATATACAGCCGTAACTGTAATGGTGTCGCAAGATAATCTAATGGAGTCCATTCCTCTCCAGACTGGTTTAAAATTAAAAGGGTTTCCTTTAGACTGATTAACAAACCAAGCGATAGAGTCTGGTTTAATATGCTATTTAACCCATAGAAGGAAGAAAATTCCTTCGTGTTGTTGTTATTGAATTTCCTCGCATTAACTGGAACCTTAGATTGTAAAATAGCCTGTGACGATAAAGTTTATAAGTGTATAATAATCCTTATATGTAGCGTAGTGTTTCTGATTATTTAAACATTATATTCAGTGGATGAACGTGTTTTGGTTGACATCATTGTCTAGCCGATCGTTGAGAATTTCTATTTTATTTGCCGTTTTCGATTTCAGGTAGGGTTTCATTATCTACGCATCTTATAAAGCTACGATTACTGGTTTTTAAAAGAAAATTTTAAAAGCCAGAATTATTTAACCGTCGCAATATATAGCGCTTGGTTTGTTGTTTGAATAGCCTTTATGGGAAGGAAACTGATAGTGGCGGACTAAGTAATGTCTCTTTGAATCATGCCAATAACAATGACTTCAGGTGGAAACTATTATTGTCTTTATACTCGGCTCAACCAGGAAAGACAGGTGAGAGTAAACACACCTGAGTTTGTGCTCAAGTTTCAGTTACGTATTTATATAGTCATCTCTTTTATGCGCCATCTTCCTTAAGGCCGTGAGCAATCATGGCCTTCCACAATTTTTTATCCTTTGTAGCTTTAAAAATTGTCATTTTACAACCTCTCACACAAACTGTTCTGCCACTG